TGCATTGCTGTCAATAAATCCTCAGAAATATTACACACTTGAACCTTTAAATTTTGAATTATAACCAAATTCAAACTGAAAAATACAAATAAATGCTTCCTGGTTGAATGCAACGATTAATCTGCACAGAGGAGTTGTTTGCAAAGTAAGTCATTTATTTACTGATGAGCTTATTTTGATCTTTTTTTTTCTGGCAGCAGAAAGATTAAGGGCCATCAAAATTGTAAATTCAGGGAGTCTGTTGTTAACACAATATGTTTGTTTATTGTTACAGCAACATACCAGATTTTTTTTTTACCAGAAAAATTAAGAAAACACTTTGGACCAGTCCAGTTTAAGTTTCCGGTCAACAATATAAATATTACAAATGTAATGATTACAAAAATTACAAAAACAATTACAACATGGATAACTAAAACAAAAAACACACATTCAATTCGAATAGGACAAATGAAGACAATATATGAAATGATGAATGAAATAAATGGACACCAGGATGGTATTCTTTTCTAATACTTAAGTAGGACTAACATAGCAGCCTGTGTGCAACTGTGTGTAAGTTGAAACTTAGTCGAGTTATAACGTAAATTTTTACTGTTGTGATTTATGTTTTACTAAAATAAAAGTGGTTGCACCCAGAGAAATAAGTTACAGTGTAACTCTAAATAGTTACACATGACTTTACGTCAAAATTCATTAGGTTGGTCTCCAAATAATCATGGTGCAACCAAATTTAGTAGCTGATTTAGTTACAAGCTAACTAGTTCTTGTGTAGTACTAGTGTTGACATAACACTCTAACTTAGCAGAGAAGTTATATATAGCTGGGGCAACCCAGTGCTGTAGTTTTATTTCCATCATTTCCTTCCTCTTTCTTGACTTCCATTTAACATTTACTCAAATTAGGTCATCTGTCATCCTTGGTGGGGCGTCCTGGTGTGTCAGTGCTGGGCTCCTGCTGCTGGTAGAAGGTATGAGTGGGGATGGCATGCAAAGGAAATTAGGATAATTAGTAACTATGTTTCTGCATTCAAAAGATTTTATATGAACAATATCTTATTGATTTTACTCATTGCCATGAGAGCTACATAAAAAATCTCTTACTGAAGTTCCTTAAAATTACAAAGATTGCACAGATCTACTGACAGAAACATGTTCTCTTACTATTCTCTGCTCTGATGCCGTCTCCTCTCCTCTCCAGTGCCCACAGGTGGTCATTTGAGTGGGAAATTGAGTTGGTCCACAATAAAATGTTAAATAAAATGTTTTTTGGTAAATGGTCTGTACTTCTATAGCACCTTTCCAGTCTTTTAGACCACTCAAAGCACTTCTACTCTACATCACATTCACCCCATTCACACACACTAAGGCTCTGCCATCAGAAAGAGAAATACACATTCACAGCAATTTAGGGTTCACCATCTTACCCAAGGATACTTCAACACGCAGACTTGAGGAGCAGGGGATCGAACCAAACCCCCTGAGCCACAGCCCTCAAATAGCAGTGTTTTAGGGATGGGAATGTTAGGATTTTATAGATACTGCTGCTCTAATCGGTTCTTCATCAATACTCTTATTGGTTCTTTTTCTCAAAAACACTAAATGGACAACATAATTATGTTATTTAGCATAGTTCTGAGGCCATTGAATGGTTAAAATAATGAATTCTATTTTATTTTTTAAAAATTGCCCCCGCAGCCACTTCATCCTAGTGCCAGGCAAGTTCTTACATGAAAATACCATACAACAAGCTATTAAAATACAATGTATCCTTTTGGCTTGTGGCCTTTTACCAAAATTACCCTTTGCCACATTTCAGATGTCAGAGAGTTTTTAGCAGTTTCACCAGAGACATTTACCCCTCAGATGTTTTTATTTAAACAACTGTTTGAGGTCCAAACATTATCCAATATTTAACTGCTTATGCAGTTCAAACTAGCTCCACCTTGAGCAGTTACAACAGTAAAATGCTGCTTACGTATGGGTACATCTGCATTAACAATATAATGTAACATATAATAATGTATCAGTTATTGGGGCCATTTACTTGTAATACGGTCGTAATTGTATATGTCATGTACATTTGTAATACTTATTTTGCTGATATTACTAACGTCCTTTCAGTTAGGTTTCCAATATAAGACTTTTACTTGTAATGGAGTATTTTTACTTTTCTGGTATTAGTACATTTACTTAGGTGAAGGGTCTGAATACTTGTTCTACCACTGATTAATAATATAGTATTATTTTTGAAAGACAGCATTTACCTTTTCTCCCTCTCCTTTAGATATTGTGTATCCTTATGTGCCACCAACAGAAACCCTCTTGCTACCACATGAAAAACTGATCTACACTCTTAGAAGGAATGTGTAAAATATTTACACAAATTATGTGTACCACTGCAGTCTACACATTTTGTGTCAATATTTAATAAAAATGTGTTGGAAGAATTCAGCTTTTTTACACAGAGTTGTGTGTAGTTATAAATCAACACAACCTGTGACTTTGTTCGCAGCATTCAACACAATATTGTGTAGACTGATCTGCTTTACACACACCCAGTGTCAGCTTTAAAAAATAACACAATTTAAAAAAGCGTCAGCTACAGTAGCCTATTTGATTTAGCACAGCAGCCGACCCAAAGTGATTTTACTTTATTTATTTATTGAATCACTTTACTCTGTGAATTCCTAAAAAAATGCAACTCAGTGGTTATTGAACCCTCCGAACATCTCCGTTTCTCAGAGACGATATAACTAAACAACACTGATAATGCCAACCATTTAGAAGCTAGCCAGTATTTACACTATTCCTAGTATAATGTTAAATATGTTTTTGAACAGACAATTTAGCTTCACGTAGGCTAGCTAGGAAGGACGACAGACAGTGGCTGTTGCTTAGTTACGCTTAGATGCCGACTGACGACAACTGTCCACGAGCTCAAGTGCATTTCGGGAAAGAATAAAAAAGTGGACATGACGGAGAGAATTCGCGCCAGTGGTGACTGCTAGCAAGATTCTTGAGGTAAGTCGTAAGCTTATTGAAATCATTTCTTAACTTATATTTACATGTAAAATCGACATATCGTGCGGTTGTTATTTTTGCTGGTTTAATCTGGTTTCTAACAGAACTGTTGGACACTGTACTTTACTCTGTTACTCAATAATAACGTAGACGTTCATCAATTATTAGCGTTAATAAAATGGCGCCGGGGATGGCGCAGTAAAAAAACCGAAAGGCTCAGGGATAACAACCATCATCGCTGAAGGTTTATTAGTTTATTTCAGACACGTTCAGACAAGTTTCCATTCCAGTAAAATAAGCACGATCTTGTCTGCATTGTTTTAATCATTTTGGTGCACTCTGTACTGATTAACGTTATGTGAAGGTAAAGTTTAGTAGCTAGCTAACCTTAGCTGATCTAAGTTAGAAGTGAGCTAAATAATGGAGAAGCCATTTGAGCAAGCTATATAACGTCACCGTAGCGTTAACATAACTTACTTAACTTAATATTAAAATGGCACAGACACAGCAGATACGATTTATTTTAAATGAAGTGTTGTTTCTCAGCTTGCAAGATGGAAATTTAACTTTAACATTAATGTTAGTTGTGCGCCGTTTTTATGAGGGTAAGTTAAGTCGTTACTCCGTTTGGTGTGACTTGGATGTTAGAACGTTATGGCAGTACAGGTAACGTTACTGTTACTCTGGACTGTGACTGTGGACCACAAACTCTGGCATCCAAGCTCTGGCACGAGTCAGTCAGTTGTTAGGAAAGAAAACAAATCGTCTCTGACGTGCTACTAACGAGCTAACGTTAGCTCAGAATGGGCAAGTGTCTGAAATTCAGAAGGCCAGAGATACGTGTTGCGAGACGAGGCTGAGGGCAGCGGCGCTGAGGTTAGCTCAACAAGCGGATCAGTGTGCGAGTCAGTCACACTATGGCGAGCGGTAATGGAGCAGCGGCGCTGGAAGACCCGCTGCAGATTACTGGTCAGTGAATGTTACAACAGCAACAGTGAGACAGTTGTGTATGAGGCGAGGACCGTGTCTGTGTGTCGCCGTTGCGCCGCTGTTGTAGGCTAACTAACACACATTATTAAACAAACCCATATGCGCCGATCACCAGGACTAGGAAAAAACCAAACCGGAGCCCAACTACTTATCCCCGATGCTTTCAAGCCAATACATCGTGAGCAATGTACAATCCTGAATCAAATTCCTTGTATGTGTACACATACCTGGCAATAAAGCTGATTCTGATACTATAATTTATATTACTATATTTCAAGCAGCCTTTAGATTCTAAAACAGAACAGGATGAAAAAATAATTGGCATTTACATTAGCATATTATATTACATTACCTTATTTTAGCCAAGGTGTAACTAATGGTAACACACATACTGCACTAGTTTCATTTTTTAATATTCTATTTATTTTGTATTTTTGGCTTCATAGCATAGAGTTCGTGATGTGATTAAATATGAACGTGAGTATTAAATAATAATTTTGTCAAGCTTCAAATTCATACAGATTTTACATTGTATGGAAGTGAAGCTGGCATTAAATTTCATCCTGGGTGGTATTAAAAAGGTCTGGTTATGATGAAGGTTATGATTGAAGAGCCTGGCTTACTATTTTTTTGCATTATGAGGCTGGAATATTTATTTTCTTCTTTCTTTCTTTTCTAACTTTGCTGTGTAAGTTAGCTAATATAGCTAATGATGTAAGTTACCTCATATAGCCATGGCTAGTTAATCTTACTTTTATTATTTACTTTTAATACATTTAAGAACATTTAGCCATCTAACGTTCATTCAGATCTGTAAGATTGTTTGTGTATGAAAGTGTAAGTTAGCTGCAGCCTCATGTTACCTAACAATAAGTGTATAGATTTTATGTTGGAAAAAAGAAATGAGCTGCTATATCAGCTAATGCTTTGTGTAAAAGTATTGTTATCAGTAAAAAGTGGCTGCTGCATTATCTGTCTAAATATTAACATTCTATTATTTCTTTATTATTCAGCAAATGGACCAATCTTTAGAGGATCCTGGGCCTCCTGGGTCTTTTGACACTGGACAACTGACCAAAACTGTACTTGTTAGTATCTATAAAGACAATACAGAAACATGCAAAAAGATCTTCCACATCAGTGATGCCCCACAACTTTTGACATTCTGTTACTCAGAATTCTCCCATCCTGTTCAGTTGGAACGTTTTTTTAAATATAACGAAGACTTCAATGACTACATTGACTGTGACATCACCACAGCTGTGCAAGACTATGACAAATTTCAAGTTTATGTGGCCACTGAAATCCACCTACAGATCATCAATGTTCAGCATACCCAGACTGAAAGTACTCAGGTGAGCACTGCAGTAAAACTCTTTAAATTATTCATTCATACTAAATCAAGCATTCTTAACAACTCTGATTTTATTTTTGCATCATAGTAATTCCTTATTAGGCCGAAGACTCACTGCCGTTACAGTCGTTCCTGACCAGGAAGGCACCTGATACAACAGCTGAATTTGAGCGCACAGGGGTGTTATCTACAGAAGGAAGGAAAAAGATCATCACTGTTTGCATCGGTGATCTCGTGGCAAAACATGGATTGTAAGTTTGTCATGTTTTAAGAACAGAAAACCTGAATCCATCTGTAACTATTACACTGTTTTGAATTTTTTTCTCAGGAGCGGGGCCTGGCATATAGGCTAAATTAAGACCCATTGAGTTAGCTAATATAAGTCAGGTTATCCGTACCTTGATTTCAAGATATAGCTATAATTAGTTGTCCATGAATATCAATAGAGATTAATGTTAATCTGGTGCGGACTGGGGCGAAAAAATGGCCCAACAATTTGTCCCACATCAGCCCACTCAGAAAGAAACATTTGTTGGTGCCTCTGGGACTTTAGAGAATTTTATTCCTTAATTCTTGAGAATTTTATGCAAGTAAAGTACATGACTCTGTTCTGCTAGCCCTCATCGCTGCTGTCTTTGAGGTCTTTCACTCATGTCAGGGCTAGTGCTGGTTTCTGAAAATCTTTACTCCAGTAAAATGAAAATTACTCCTATAAAAAAACACTGAAGTAAAAGTAAAAAATTACCATTTCACAAACCTACTCAAGTAAAAGCAGAAACGTGCAGATATCTTCTCTTTTTGGAATAAGCGTACCATCTGCTGTGCATCAGTTTCGCTTTGCTTTACTTGTTTTTTAGCCCTGCTCTAATTTTGTTATTTCTGTTTAATACAATTCTTTTACTTCTTTAAATCTACATAGAGTTATCAGTAAGATCAGTAGTAGTAGGTTAAGCCTACATATAGAGGCCAGCAGGACTGTTGTGTAATCTCTTCGTATTGGTATTAAACAAATAGCAACCAAGCAAATTAGAGAAAAATAAATAACTTCTATCAAAACAAAGCAATGCTCTGTGCAACGAGAGGATTCTGCAAATTTAGGCTATCAGTATCAATCCAGTGAGAATCTGCCTTTTTTTTCAATTTGTGTTCTGCTAAGTCTGAGGATGCAGTGTCAGTCACCAGTCATGCTGCTATATTTGCTGCAAAGATGTACTCTTTTTCTAATGTAACATTAAGTGATGTACAAAGAAGTGTAAGTTGCACTAAAGAACTTTTGGACAGGACATCTACCACTGCTTTGCTCAAAAGCTTAGCTGTTCCAGATGACAACGAGGGGTTCGTTCATTAATGAAAGAGTTTGAGACTGCAAGAGAGTCCCTTGAGAATATAGGTAACCCTTATAAAATGTCTAAATTCTTTGAAACTGAGTACTCTCTTCTTAAGCCAACCGAGATCTTCTTAGGCCACAGAGCTGAAACTATAAGAAAAAATGGTATTCCACAACAAACACTTGCAGCTGATACATTTCAGTATATTTCCATCCTTGAAACTCTAAAATTAATCTTTAATAATGAGAAATTTCAGACCCTGTATTTGCAGTCTCATAGAAGTACAGATGGAAAGATGCGTGACTATTGTGATGGTGCTCATTTTGCTAGACATGAACTATACAAAACACATCCCGATGCTCTACAGATTCAGCTATACTTTGATGATCTGGAGACAGTTAATCCTCTTGGGTCAAAAACAAAGATTCATAAAATGGGAGCAGTGTATTTTTCATTGAGAAACCTACCCCCTGAGTATAATTCAAGCTTGGCAAACATTCACCTTTGCCTTCTATTCAATGCTATTGACAGAGAAAAATATGGCTTTGCAAAGATTTTTCAGCCTCTCTTAGATGACATAAAAATCCTAAAGAGTCAAGGCATTGACATTAAGATAAGAGAAGAAACACACACAGTACACGGAACGATCTGCCTTTTTACTGCTGACAATCTTGCTTGTCATGCGCTGTGTGGCTACGCAGAAAGTTTTTCTGCTAACAGGTTCTGCCATATTTGCCTTGTTGATAAAACAACTTCACAAAGTGTGTTTAATGAAGATGATCTTGAAAAGAGAGACAGACACAATTACCAGCAGCATGTTGTGTTGAATGATGTCACTGTTACAGGGATCAAACAAGACTCGTGCTTGAATACTTTGGAATACTTTCATGTAACTGAAAATGTAGGGGTTGACATAATGCATGATGTGCTTGAGGGTGTTGCACCTTTGGAAGTAAAACTTTTACTTCGACACTACATTTTTGAAGAAAAGCTGTTGTGCCTGGAACAGCTGAATGAAAGGATAGCCAGCTATGACTATGGGTATTCAAACACAAAAAACAAACCAAGTGAAATCCTTAACCTGAAATCTGAGACAGCCATCAAACAAACAGCAGCACAGATGTGGTGTCTCATACAAAACTTGCCTCTTCTTTTGGGGGACATTGTCAGTCCTGAAAGTCTGCACTGGCAGTTGTTCATTTTGTTATGAGAAATATGTAGCATTATATTTGCTCCTGTTGTAACCAGAGGTCTTGCAGTGTTCCTGAAACAGCTTATCATAGATCATCATAAGAACTGAGCTGAGAACAGAGACGGTTTATGTGTCAAACACAGTTGGTGTAGGTGGACATACATACAGAACAGGGAGCATTCTGATGTTGTCAGCTAGTTCAGAAAAGGAATCAATCTTTGGAGAAGTTGTTCATTTATTCCCAAAGGTGGACAGAAACACTGTGACTTTTTTAAGGATAGTTAATGTTAAATATTTTGATGATCACTTTTACTCATATGCTGTGGAAAAGATGGAGGAGTACAAACTTGTTAAAATTCCTTCTGGTGTGTCAGATTCCCAACCCCTAGATATTCAGACACATTTTTTAGATGATCAGATCTACATCAATCCAAGATACATAGTTTTGAAATAAGTACAATGATGTAGAAGGTGTGGTTATGTCATTTTGCCCAATGAAATTGGAAAATATCTGTTCTATTCAATTCAATTCAATTTTATTTGTATAGCGCCAAATCACAACAACAGTTATCTCACAGCGCTTTTCATAAAAGAGCAGGTCTAGACCGTACTCTGTGATGTTATTTACAGAAGCCCAACAGTTCCCACCAAGAGCAGCACTAGGAGACAGAGGCAAGGAAACCTCGAGCAGAACCATGGCTCAGGGTGGGCGGCCATCTGCCTCGACCGGTTGGGGTGTGTGTGTGTGTGTGTGTGTGTGTGTGTGTGTGTGTGAGTGAGAGAGAGAGAGAGAGATGTAAGGAGAGAGAGAGGGGAGGGAGGCAGCCTACACAATATACACACAGAGGTACACACAGTGAAGGTAATGTTGCTATAGACTAAATGAAAAATGGTACAGATATTTATAATAGTGTTAATGGTAACCATCGTAATGTTAATGATTATAATAACAAATTATTCTGTCCTGTCAGATTTGTTTTACTGCTGAAATTCTATTCTATGAAATTATATAGTTGCAGCTATATATTTCTGTTAATCTGGCGTAAGTTCGAATTTGTGGATCTTTTTGCCAATACGTAATAAATGTATTGATATTAAATGCGTTTGAGTCATAAATTGTGTATTCTGTTTTCATTAACTCATTTCGTGTCAAATTAACACTTTTTGTGTAGGGTTTTAGGTTTGTTTCTTTCTACACAATGTGTGTAGCCATGGACAGCACATTATGTGTTAATGTTACACATGTTTACACATTTTTGTGTTCACCTTCCTGACACATTCACTGTGTTAAAATCATTAACACAGTGAATGTGTCAAAATTAACACAACAAGGGTTGTCCCAAAACTCACCCATTGATGTGTAAGAATTTAACACAGTTTGTGTAAGTTTTAACACATCCTTTCTAAGAGTGTAAATTGAAAATATGACATACAGATTGCATATAGGTAACTTAAATATATTGATCTATACCCCTTTGATTTTCTTTAATAAAAAGTTTTAACACTTGTAAGTACACCAGTTTTTGTAACTCAGACATGATTGAGATTTGGAGCTGAGGTCTGTTTTCCTTTTGCCTCTAGGTTTGTCCTCCAAGCATGCTTTTCTGACTAAAATGAGAATTGAGGCACAAAGTGGACTGTGTCCAATCTCTATTGATTTTTGGCCTACCTTGCCCTGTGTCCTGGTATTGCTGTAAATGCACAGTGTGGGAACGTCTAGAAACAAATGGACTCCTTCATTGGTTGTGACAGCTGGCCGAGAACTGACGGACAGGAACTAATTTTTCCCTCATACGCAAATAAAACTAAAGAAGGAGAGCGAATAAGTGTCTCATTAGAGGCAGGTGTTGAGTAAACCCTATAAATGCAAATATCAGTTAGTCTCTTTCTTTTCCATCATGGTAGTTTCTATTTCTACTGAAAATCTGCTATAGATAGAAACAACTTTCAGATCTTGATTCAGAATTCAGTTGCAATGAAGGCCATCAAAAAGAGGTCTGTACCACAGCATCATTGTACTGGCTTCCTTATCATTGGAGAATTGACTTTAATATTTTATTACTTTGACAGTGACAACTTGGGATGGACCACAAATCAGGTAATTTAACACCCTATGTGCTTGATATTGGTCTCAGTTGAACTTGCTGTTCATGACCACATGGGATAGTTTATTGCTGTTAAAAACATTTAGAGACAATTTTATTTGGAATGGTATTTCTATAACATTTAACTATATATGCTGTATTTGTGCATAAGGGGATCCCATGCATATTTGTGAACCCTTTCTCCCAGAAATTATGTTTTATACAACTATTTTGCAGCAGTAAATGGGTTATAAGAGAAATGTGATGGCACTCGTAATGGCACAACTCACAGCACTTGTTTAAGGTTAGTATAATATGGAAAAAGTCAACAGTGATTTGAAAGATGAGACACAACATGATTACTTTAAATTTGAACCAAAAACATAATCTTTCTATTACCTAAGATCCAGACATGTTTTAAAAGATAAAAAGACTTTGCTTGGACTAATATTTTGTGTGATGTGGTTTCAACATTTAAATGTGCAACTACCTAGTAACAAATCTTAAAATGACATCTCCCAAGAATCTACTGTATAAATATGCAAATGTCTATATTTAATTTATGTTTAAAGTTCATGTTTTCCTTCTAACTTATTTGGCTAAACAAATTCATAGTTAACATAATTTGCTATATGCAATATGTATGTGTAGTAATTATTATATATATATATATATATATATATATATATATATATATATATATATATATATATATATATATATATATATATATATATATATATATATATATATATATATATATATATATATATATATATATATATATATATATATATATATATTTTTTTAATAGAGGGGGGGTTTCCAGCAGATAGTACAATTCAACCAGTAAAAACCTAGATCCCCCCAATTGGTAAGGTCACAAAAAGAAAAAATTACAAGAAGACTAATTAAAGAATAAATAGATAAATAATAAATGTCCAAATACTCAATAACTGCATAAACTGCAAAATAACAAATAAATAGAAGATATAATAATGGAAGAAAAAGTAAATGATTAATTAAATGTTATACTGATCGGAGAAGATATACGATACGATGAAAGGCAAAAAGATAACTCCCTCTCCGACAGGTTCCACCGTCTTAGGAGTGATAGTCAAGCTATTTATTGAGTTCAGAAAGGGATTCTTGTAAAAGGCTAGCTTTAGGCATTCCAATATTTCCTGTCCTGTCCAGAAAAAATGTAAATTATCAGCTGGAGATTGCTGACATCTGTTGCAGACATCACTTCATTCAGAGATGGCATTAACTTTGGATGGAGCAGCTCTCAAATCTATGTGCAAGACCTGACCAAATGCTGGGAAGTGGGTAGTGGTTGAACCACCAAAAATCTCTTTCCTACCAGGTGGCATAATGGTTACAGATGGCCTAGCGAGCCTTCCACCCAGGCTGCCTCGCTACATACAAGTGACCCTATAGAATGATATTATGATACCACCATCTCTCCAAAGCATGTGATAGCTTTGGTGAATGTTATTGAAAGTATTCAGCCCATCATCACTAGAAACTCAGACACTTCTACTAAACCTGACCAAAAACCTAAGAATCACTTAAACTTTGGACACTCTTCAATGCCCAGTGAATTTTAAGAACCAATAACTGAAAAACTGCCATAGGCTAACAAAGCATGACCTTGCCTTTGGGTGCACTGACAAAATAAAACACCACATAATGCTTGGTCACGAAAACACCAAGCAAGTGAAAAGTTAGGGTACAGGTATAGGAAACTGGTAACATTAAACATGCAGCAACTGGTAGCACACATATCATACGACAATGACCAGACGGGCACTGAACAGAAAAAACAAACATAATACACCAGGGACTAACATGCAGGGCGGGAGCAATACAGGTGACAGGGATCAAGGCTAACGAGGCAGGCAGGCAGATAGCAGGGAAAACAGACAGAACACATCTTACAAAATATCAGACAAGAATCTAACCGCAAACAATAACAGAAACCCATGTAAACAGACAAACACTGACCAACTATAACACTGGGATCATAACAGACAAAAACCTAAACGAGAACACAGAACTACAACACAGAGGCAGGGAGTTGAAAACAACATAACGGGGCAAGGCAGGACTGAAATTAGGATTAGACAGAACACCAGACAATTACAGAGGAACTGAGGCAAGCACAGATAATAAGCAGATAAATAATAACCCAGACTAAACAGATACCGAACTGATCAATAAGTAAACACACAGTGAACTAAACAGATGACAGAACTAAAAAGTAGATACAAAACCCAAAACTCAGAATCAAGAACCAAAACCCAGAAACCAAAACCAGGGAAGGCATGGCCAAAATAATATAACACAGACAACCAACAATCGTGGAATGTTTTGTGTGATACTAGATGGTGATTGAGAGTTGGATGGAGGGGGGGAAAAGAATGTTAAGTAGTCTGCTGGTATTGAAAAACTTATGTCTCCCTGGTGTAAAGCCCATTTGGTCCAAAGAAATTATGGCTGGACAGAAATTTTGACAGAATTTGAAAATAATAATAATAATAATCTTTATTTGTAGAGCACTTTTCAAAAACAAGTTACAAAGTGCTGTAACAAGTGTAAAGACAATAAAACCCAAAAGACAATAATACAAAAACAATACAAGATAAAAGCATGAAAACATTGAAAAGACTAAAATACACGTTTAAGATAAATGTAAAATTAGTAAAATACAATAAAATGAAAGGGATAAAATAAAGTCAAATAAAATCGGGAAAGGCTCTCCTATAAAAGTATGTTTTAAGAAGGGACTTAAAAGAGTTCACTGAAAATCAACATTATTGGACTATATATGCAGAAGGTTACAGTACATGTATTGATGTAGTAGGCCTATGTGAGTATATGTATATTTTTATTTAATTTTATTGATAATTATTACTATATATTTTCTTTTTTGTTGCTCTGTTCTGTTTTAACCTCTTAACATTCCAACGGCCTGCCCACGGTCCTGGCGGCAGCTTTTGGTAAGTGCACACAACTGCTATGTTAACTTCATACTCATATGATACACCATTTCAAAGCTAAAATCCTCGTGATTCGACCAATGCAAACCATTTCAAGATACAAATCACCACAGCGGGTACAATCAGCGCTTCTGTCAGACCAACCAGTACAACCAAAATTGACGCGACTCACCTGAAGCCTCATAGTAATCCGCCCATCGATTATATTCCACCAAAAATGGTCTTGTTAAGTTGTCAAAGGTCCAGATGATCCAATCCAGTAAAAATATTTAGTCCAAAACACATTATTCCATCAATAAAGCCCCAGGGACTGCTGCTGCATCGTTTCATATTTGTCAGCAGATGTGACTCGCTTGCCATTATAACCGTAATAACGCCAATTTGAATGTAAACAACAACGATAGCTTGTATTCAAATTAGCCGCTGACCTTTCCAGTGACACCAAATCCGACCCAGCT